AATGCCATCCTGGATCGACGCGCGGTACTAAACTCCTGCAACAGGCATCGATAGCCATCAGTTCAAATGAGCAGCTTTCAATGACTACTCTGATTGGCCGTACATCAAGGAAATCTGATATCCAGCTACAAAAGTCAGCAGGGATGCCGTAAGCGGGAAGCTTGCTCAGCAGACTTGCGTGCTAAACCCTATCAAAGGTCTCCGAGATATCTTGACACGGCCAGAGCCTCGCCGTGTTTCTCGATGGCTTCGCCCCAGCAGTGTGTTAATATACACGAGAAAATCCCCCGCTGATCGTTCCCGGCGAAAGACATTTAGTAGGTCATTTGTTTCAAGATATGAAAGCAAATTACTATTCAGAACTTTTCCCATAACCTTACAGATTATGGAAGCAATGGCGATAGATCGATAATTGCAGGTCGATAATATAGGTATTATTTGTATGTAGCTATGTACTATCCTATGTATGTATTTTTATCAATATTATTTATTAAGTGCTCTTAATATGATGATATTCTTTGGTTGCACCCCTTTTTCTTATCCCAAATTTCTATCCTAAGGTTGCGTGGAAGAAATTGCTTTTGCACGTTCACTTACTTTTTTTTACTTAAGTTACTGTTTTGTGTTATCACTATAATTTTATATAATAAAGAATATTCCATTCATTCATTCATTCAATATTATTTCGGTGTGACGAAAATAAAACTCAGTCTAGTTAAAAATCTTATATTGCGAAATTTTGCCACAAATATACAAATACAAATATTTTACATTCCACAGGAATGATTCCGTTGCTGCTACACTACTATTTACATAATTATGCGTATTTTTGATTATAATTAGAGTTTTATTACGTTGTGTAAAAATTCATTGAACAATAGTTGTTGTTTATGACGTTAGTTATATAGTCTTGCGTGGTATGTATTTTACAAATAATCATATACACATAATAGCTTTATTTACGCTTCTTTACTCAGAGTAAAAAGTTGAGTAAGGCTATAATTTTTTGCTGGTAACCACGTAAGCGAACGGTAACGTGGTAATTGAAGATAGGCATACAAAAAAATAAGTGTTTATGAAACCAATTGGTTCCGCTTGCGTATAATGAACAGAAAAACTACACAGACGTGTTATAATTCAACACCTGGCCGACGATTTGCGGAGGTGTTCAGCTTGAAAATTAATACCATCAAAGTATTAATGACGCACACACTCAACACACTCAACATAGCCCCGCGCTAGAGAAACCCTGTGTCGCGGGTGCCATGGACACACACACATAGACAACCATAACTTACACTCAAACTCACGAGAGAAGTAATGTAGGCCATACAAATATTTCTCCTGACCCGGGAATCGAACCTGGGACCGCTGCGTGACTGACCGGCATGGTAACCGTTCGACCACAGACGCAGTTGCTGACGATTGCTTTTATTATAGAGCATTAGGTTATTCTTGCTGACGAGTCTTCCTATCTCATGTACTCAGCTTCGATAAATAGATTTTAGGCTTTTCTGGAAAGGCTAGAGTTTGTCCTAAAAAGATATTCGCATAAAGAATGAAACTGTTCGATACGAAAGACATTAGACTAATTTTTACGTGTACAATTAGGAGCACATCAAGCTTTGAAAAATTCTTATCATAGGTTGGTAGAATTTGATATTCTAAATCGCAAAGATCTGAAGGGCACTGCCACTGTGCCCTTTACTTACCCTGAGACATAAGTTGCCAAGTCCCATGTACTTGTAATTTTACCAGCACCCTGATCGCTTGGCGGCAGAAATAGGTAAGATGGCAGAACTTTTCTGGAGGAACCCTGTCCCAAGGAGCTCTACTGCTAATAATTTAATTTAAAAAGGTTAAATTATTTAATTGGGAGCGACAGTAGTGAAATTGATTATGATATGAAAAAAACATTAATCACAAGCGCAGCTATTCTCCTCTGTCCCATTAATTTTTAATTGCATTAGAAATTATGACATAGCAGTGAATGGGCATTTCTTTAACCATAGTGAGGCTTCCAACTGCATTTTATGTTTTACGTAATAAGTTGTGTTTTATGCGATAGGTTAGTTAAATTGTGCATCGGTTATATTTCTATTTGTGAGGATCTGTAAGTGTATCTCAGTTGTTATTATTATATAAGTTAGTTTAAGCTGAAATTTTCCTTTAAAATAAATAAATACGTTGGAGTATAACCTTTGACAGAAACAACCTCGTCACTAATTGTGTCAGGAATCATTTGATAATTGGTCTACCCTTTCATCGTTATTGATTTGTGAATTATAACGTCAAATTATTTAATTTTCGAGCTAATGGGTTTGAAAGTGCACACACAACCGGCGACATGTCATACTTCTACAACTCCATTCGGTGTTACCCGCTCTCATCGAGTATATTAACCAGAAATAGAGACGAAATAGTGCCATCCGACTCTGGCAACTCATCAGGTAAATGGTCCTTACATTACTTTTAAATTTCAACTCTCGTTTACGCTGCAATCACAAATTAGAAATACGAAATAGTAATGAAAAATAGCAAAACATCTAATTACAAAATCAAACGGAATTACATTTCATCGGTAATTAAATATGAAATATGTAATTTTTCAATTATCGTCCATTAAAGCAAAGCTCAAGTTAAGCTGGTCGATTAGAAGTGAAACAATTGACACCCGTCAATTATTTCGAATTCGGGCTGGCCAATCGGAGCGCAGTTGACACAGTAACGATTTGGTAGAATAGTTTTCAAACAAATTAAATGACATTTCGTCTCTATTTCAGGTTATATACTTGATGCCTGCTCTAAAATAATAATAACTAAAATCATTGATTTAGCGAATAAAGTAACTAAGTACTCGATATCTCAATAATCAGTAATCAACAGTTTCAATAACGCGCCGTTAAATAAATTAATTTATTTCCATTTTTATTAACATGGATTTTCGCAAAGTAACGCCTGTTAAACAAGTGACATATATTTTAAGTGTCAAATTTAACGTTCTCATTGACCTTGTATCACATTGTCTGGCAATTTGGTCTTAAACTAGGGAATTTTCTATGACTACGAAAGTAACGCAATTAACTCTGTTGACACCCAGAAAACCCAAATTAGAACCAACTTTATGAAGTCCTTTCCATCGAACCCACTGCTCATCACTGGATTGTCTGGTTGGCATCAGCGAAACATTAACAGATTCTGTAGTAATCTTATAGGCGAAGATCTGCAAAGCGCTCTTCTTTTCGGGCAAGAGTATCTTTTCACGCACATGGCGAATCGTCTGTCGCACTCACAAAGTCTTGCTGCGCAGCCGTTGATAAACTGGTGTTGAGTGCGGTAGTTTTCCAGGGCACACAGAGGCTGGCCTCGGTAACATTTCCAGTAGTAAGGTTGGAAGTAGACTGTGAAGAATGGACAGTAGATGTTTTCGTAGCATTCATCGTGCATTTTGCAGCATCTGGGAATCAAAGAAATTCGTAATTATTTTTTGAAGTTCATAATACAATGTGAAATTTTAGAACTCTCTTAAACAAGCATACAAAGGTTATCGACTAATTCTGTTCCTAGAGTATTTCGCAGTCTACTTCTATGTATGATAGTTTTTACCTCCGATCTAAAGGACGAAAAAGATGAGACTAACAAGTCTTTTTTTTAACGCACACACTCAACATAGCCCTGCACTAAGGAAACCCTGTGTCGCGGGTGCCATGGACACACACAAAGACAACCACAAATTACACCCACACTTACGACAGAAATAAATGTAGACCATACAAATATTTCTCCCGGCCCGGGCACCAAACCTGGGACCTCTGGGTGGCAGTCCGGCATGGTAACCGTTCGGCCACCGAGGCAATTATTCTCCGTATATATATATAGATCTACAGACAAAGTATATCTTTTTGAGATATACAGACAATCAGACAAATCACAATACTACCTAACCAAACCTGTATACAAAATCTTCGCGGCACTGCGTGTTGGACGAAAAGGAATGAAACCACTCAACATTAAGAGATTATACTATCTCAACTCGAATTTATATTATTCACTTACTAATACGGTTTCTTTTGTTTCGCTCGAGCGACAGGGACACTGGTTATTATATATACAAACGAAAACAAAGTCATTTGAAAAGTGTATACCGTATAGTACTCGTGTTCTATTTATTTCGGTTGATATAAAAAAAAAATCATCGGTATATGTAAAGTACCTATTGAATCCAGGCACTTTTCTTGTAAAATTTTGAGGTAAGTTTGTGTTTTTTTTCTACCGTAAAAATCTTTAGGAATCGTGTTTTCACACCATATTATAGTAATTAGTCTATATCCTTAATTTTACATTATATTTTTTCCAAACTGATTGATTCAACCCTTCATGCGGAATCAACCAAAGCCAATTGAAGTAGTATAGATTCTCAAGTTGTTGTCTAAAAATTCAAATTTATATTACTCAGCGTGTTGGATACTGCTTCAAAATACCTACCGAAGGTAGCAAGGTTAATTGCATAGAATCGTGAATGAAACATCATTAAAAGTCTCGCAAGTTTCAATTACAAAGAGTGATTGTGGCAATTTATAAGTTTTTAAAAGCAAAAACTTCGTGTTGAGACATTAAGGTTCCTAATGATTGTATTTGTTTGACTTTGACCTAACGTTAATTATGTGAAAAGGGTTGGTGTTGTATTTATTGACTGGCTGGCGGACTAACGGACGTGGATTGACATCACGATTACTTTTTCATAAAGGCCCATTTACACGGAGAGTGTGATTATCTAAAGGTTATTAAAAAAGTTTCTTCAAGTACCTAAACGTTCGCGTCTTTCACGTGGGCGACAATATCCTCACCATTGACTATTGAACGTCTCCGTGTAAACAGACCAATATCGTAGTAATCACTGAACGATTGATACTGTAATGTTAAGCAAGAGAGATAATAACAAGTTTAGACTTATGTCTCCAGATACAAAACATTCTGTATGTCAATGTCACAAATTACTTAACAGTTACTACGTAACATATATGTTACTCTCATACAAAATAGAAAATACTACGTTATAATAGCCTATCCTTCCAATTTTTTTTTTCAAATTTATTTACCATATAAAACAATACACAACAATGTTTCTAGTCCCATTTTAAACCACTAGTGTTTGTCATAATGCGTACTGTATCCACACAGTACAAATATGTTAAATTTGCTTACAGACGAAGTATTATATAACATTTAAGTAATTTGTATATATTAAATAATTCAACATTAACCAAAAACGCGTTACTGAAATAGGATTGGGTACTTAAATACATTTATAAACAATAGAATTTATCACAATTTTTTAAGTTGTTTACAAAGTAATCTATAAGTTTATTTTCTATGGGTTTGTGGCTGTTAAGGCATTATGTAATTCCAGTGGTAACTTGTTTATTAATCGGGGAACGAGGTAATTAAAATTTCTTTCACCGTTAACATTATTAGCGCGACTGTTTGCTATATATTGGTTCACTTAAACTTATTATAATGTTACACACTATAAATTAAATGTGGTGAAGATCTTGTCTATTGCACAAGTAATTATGAACGAACAAAGCTTGTAAAAACAACGTAAATATTATATAGGAAATGAAACTATTTTTCCGGAATTAAATCGCGTACATTTGTTTTTTCAAACAAACCAACGTTTCGGGCCCTTTATGGTCCCATGGTCACGGTTGACATGAAACGTGAATATAGATAAATATAAACTTAAAAACAATGACTGAATTAAAAAGAAGTAATAGACATCATCTTAGTACAGAGTACTTAAAAAACAGACCTCAAAAATTCGTGGAATCACATCTATTTGCCAAGTTTTATTAAAATGGGTAACCGGAAAGTGCGCGAAACCGGATTCATCCTTTTTTTTGCCACCTTTAGAGGTAGAATTTTTTCTTAAAATTTAAACGGAACCAATATTGAGGTACCCTCTTCCCAACAAAAAAGAGTTTTCAAAATCGGTTCATAAATGCCGCCGGATTGATCGCGTAACATACTTAAAAAATAAAAAAAAATACAGTCAAATTGAAATGGCAAAAATGAATTTAATAAAGGTTTGACAGTATATTGTTTTACTACATTTGTGTAGCGACTGCCAAAATATGCCGCTAACCCGACTATGCCTATTATATATAGTCTGCAAAGCCTTGGAACACAGGAATTAATGCCCAGAACAGTCTTGCGAAAAGGTGGCACAAAAGGTGTAAAAACAAAACCTCGCGTATCTGGAGGGAATTCTGAAGTTAAATTTAGCGAGCAGTTCTGGACAGTCTTATGTGTAACTTAATACCTTTCGTTAGTCCTGGCACACACACAACTTTGGCACATGCCGAGTCAGTGGCCGGTCATTACTATATTACATGTTACAATAATGTTGTTTTTACTTTCGTATTTAATATGTATTTATGTTATATTATTTAATAAAATGTTTACCAATCTATCTATCCATCTATCTATCTATTTATTTATCTATCCATCTATCTATTCATCTATCTATTCATCTATCTATCTATCTATGTGCGAACGCAAAATTTTATATAATTGAGGTCTATAAACGGTTGACCGTGGGAAACATTTTAGTAATAAGATTTACAAGATATGGTTCCATTAAAGTGCTCTTTTAAAATTGTTCCTATGTGTAACTGCGTATCACATGGTGGATTTTGTGGTAATGGTTAATGGACAATTTACTTAGCGTGAAGTGCGAATAGCAAGGCATGTCGTAACACCTATTACTAGTGCGTAACAGGTATAGTACTAAAATATTGGTGGCATAATAATAACTGAAGTTGGAAAGATTGAAGTCTACCGCTCACGACGAAGTGAGATCTTCTATAATAACTCTTCATTGATTTCGCAATACCACAGAGTAATGATGTGCAGTACTTCGATTTTAAATGAATTGAATTTAACCAATTGCCTGATCTTGCCGGGACCTTCGCCACCAACTTCGTCAATTAAAATGCCACCATGTTTTGCTGTATTTACAAATTAGTAATCAATGTAACTTGAGATGTAGCATAAAAACGACCCAATAGAAATAGAAAAAAACTTGTTTTTAATTTATTTTTTAAAATACTAAGCCTTGAAAACCTAGGATCGTTAAAAAAATCTTCCTATTTAATAACATCTTCTAAGAATGATAAAAAGATTTTTTAAATTTAACCTGTTGTTAATTATAGCACCTTTATTTTAACAAAATAAAACTAGAGCCAGCAAGTTCCTCAAAGAAGTAGTAAAAACAAGTCAAAAAGTCCTAAAATAATAGGGCATCGATACGATAACACGAAGAAGAATGGAGCATTAAACTCAATGGCTGTTTGTGCTTGAAAGATACATAGCTTCAAAGGCAAATACACTGTGACAAAAAAGTTGAGCAAGACTGAGATTGAAAGGAATTAATCCTCCTTTGTTTACGATTCCATCTGCGATGTTTTGAGGTCATGTCGTCTTTTGTTTACTGCGGATGGATTATCTATGAATGAAATAAATAATGTCTTCGTTAGCATTGCGGAATGATTAAGGGTTGGAGTCTACTTCTCGACGGGATACAACACCACGTTGATATTACACGTGTATTTTGTCGTTTATTGTCGGAGTACTGTTCACCTACCTAATTTCCTTAGCAATTTTTGTTATTTAATATTCAAGTATATTATCGTGAAATTATTAAATAATATTTCACCATACAATACTCGAATATTAAATAATATTGCACGATAGAAAAAACGAATAATTAAATAATAAAAAATTGCAACGGAAATTAGATAGTGAACACTAGTCCGAGCATGACCGTTATATCACGGGTGTTTTTGATGTTAAAACGTGGCTGACGATATTTTATACAATTTTTTTTATACATCCAAAAAAGCTTTTTTTTTATAACATCAAGTGACGGGACGAACAAGTCGTGCGCGTGATGGTAAGCTATACACCTGTCCATAACAGTTATAGTGCCACTCAGAGCTTTAAATTGCAAAGATCTAAGGTGCACTACCACTGCGCCCGTCACCCTGAGACTTATGTTGACAAGTCCCATGTGCCTGTAATTTCACCAAAATATATGAGCTTCCCAATAAAAAGTAATTATATATTTTAGCATTATTTAAAGTTATATTGCAGAAAAAAAGTTGGTTATATCACTTTTGCTCTGATAGCCTCATTTATATATATCATTAACAATATTTATTTAAAAATATCACGCGTAGTTAGACGAATTTACGTTAAACAGATCACTTTAACGTTTGTCATCCCGCCACGTTGAAGCTGTATAAACTTATTTGAATACAGTTGCTCAAAACATGGCATTTTTCGTACAAATCGTGCCGAAAGCTGGATTTTTCGCACTAGTGCTTTTTGCTTTCCATTTTTTTTAAATTTATTATTGTTTCAAGTCTTAAACATAGAACTAAAGAAATTGTATATTTATTTCATATCTATGAGCTTTGTGACGTAAGTCATTCGTTAAACTTATATTTACTTACAAACATCTTATTTGTTTACATTGCATAGGTGTTTTATAAAACAACGGGTTACATTTAAAAATACCAAAATATATTCCATGAAGATGGCTGATTGAGTATTAACAATGACCGGAGGTGAATATTACGCGAAACAGCTGCACGCCGCACCACTAAAATATACTGTTTTATTTTACTTTTAATGTAGTTTTTTCGCAAATGTGTTAAAATACGTCGTTTAGTACACGTGCGGATTTGTCATTTTCAATTATCTCGAGTTTTGATCCTCGCCTCTGGCTCGGGCCAAGAATCCTTGAGACTCGTGTATAATGACTAACTTTTCGCATTTGTATCAAAAATAACTATTGTATCTTTAGTACAAAGTTTTTGGTTCACGATAACCCTAAATAAACCTAGATTAAATTTTTAAGTTTTTATTGAATGTCACGATGTTTGACCACCATGATATTAGTTTTTGTGAAATTACTCCACTACTTTGTTATAATTAATATAATATAATTAATATAATATAACTGCCTCCGTGGCCGAACGGTTACCATGCCGGACTGCCACGCAGAGGTCCCAGGTTCGATTCCCGGGCCGGGAGAAATATTTGTATGGCCTACAGTTATTTCTCTCGTGAGTTTGGGTGTAATTTGTGGTTGTCTATGTGTGTGTCCATGGTACCCGCGACACAGGGTTTCTCTAGTGCGGGGCTATGTTGAGTGTATGCGTTATTATTATTATTATTAATTATTAATACAAAGATTGAAAATTAAGAAAAAAATCCTTCGATCCGGATGGATTAGAACTAACGTCTTCCAGCAAACCGCCAATTAAGCCAAGGAACGAATTAGCGAACCTTTCGATTTTTTTTATGTGCAGATCTTTGTTTCTGGTTCTTAACGACTTTTTTGCCGTACCGCCATCTGTGAGAAATCTATTTCTTCACTCAGCCATCCTTTACTAGTTGTAAATTGGGACTAATTTTAATAGTTATAAATTGAAATTTAATTATAATAATTGAGAATTATACTTGGCTTTTGAGTAAGAGACACAATTGTCTCAGGTGTGTCTTTTTTGTGTTATTATATTGTAATTGAACTACGTAATAAGGGCACAGTTCTGTACATTACCAAGCAAGATCCTCTGATATTAGTGTTTTTAACGTACTTAAGAGGGAGCAGAGGAAAAATTCCTAATCTTCGATATGATTTTCGAGGGGTATATCCACTTTAAAGTTAATAATAAAATATTGTATGAGTAACTACAAGATATATACAAGCATAGACATTAATCAGAAACATAAAACAATAAAGTTTCCTCGATAGATAAAAATCACGAAATGACCTCTAATTTTCACATTTTTTCGATTTATCCTCGAAATGCTACAGGTTATTAGGACAAAAATTAGATAATTAATTATATTTATGCATGATCGACAACTGTCACTACGGACTTTTTTAATCCCTTTAGTTTTAGAGTTATTCCGCTAAAACGAATTTGGTACTTTTAATGCGCAACATTCGACATCTCCTGTCGCATGTCACTCAAACTTCAGGCATATATTTGTTTCACAAATTTGGGCGGAGCCAACGTCAAAACTTTTTTGGCATGAGAGCTCTTAACGTCAAATATGACTTTTTATGAAAAAAAACTGATTATTGATGAGTTTTTCTTTTTGCCCTTCAATATTTTTTTTTAACGCACACACTCAACATAGCCCCGCACTAGGGAAACCCTGTGTCGCGGGTGCCATGGAAACACACATAGACAACCACAAATTACACGCAACCTAACGAGAGAAACAAATGCACGCCATACAAATATTTCTTTCGGCCCGGGAATCGAACCTGGGACTGCGTGTTTGAGATAATATATTTGTACATAAAAAAAATAGGTAGATTGCTCTTTTTATCTTGCTTCCGAATATCTATGAAAATAAATTTTGATGAAACTACCAGTTGTGCCCTTTTTCGTTTTGAGGGCAGTATAATACTCACCTATCAATGCCATCAGTAGGCCGTCCTGCACCTAAGAAGCCACAATAGCAACCATAGCCCTTGTATGCCAAGGGCTCACAGCCTGTTGCGCAATACATCATGTTGTATAGGTGAAGTACGCCGCGTTTTCCACGGTTCTCGCCTTTGCCCATTATTGATGTTGGATTCATGTGCCTGGAAATGTATAAGATAAGATAAATTTACTTCATTATGTCTGAAGAGTCGATACTATTTTAGCCTGACTTCAATACATTTTGCTTGGGTCGAGCGCAGGGACACTGGCTTTATTTCAGAATTTGTTATTTTACAAATGAAATTAAAACCATTTGAAAAATGCATATCGTATACGTGTTCTATTTACTTCAGATATAAAAAAAATCATTGGTATATCGCACCTCTCGTGGAAGAAAATGTATAAAAAGCATTGACTTACAATTATATGGACGTCGGGTCCGCGCTAAAAAGTGTCCGCACTTATAAGGCGCTAAAATCGTATACAGAGCGCTACAAACTCCGCTTTAGTCTTCATTTGTTCTACTGACAGCGCGATACTGCGATGACATTATAATTTAAATTTCGAATAGGTTGACTTGGGACATTTTTTTCGTGCTTTTTGTATTAGACCCGTCGTCCATTTATTTGTAAGTCAATGATAAAAAGTGGATAAGTGGAGTTACGTCAAAAATGTTTATTTTTCCATTATAAACAGAAAAATATAATCCACATCCTCTATAATTCTTGTAACTATATATACAATATTAGTCGAGAGAGTTACAAGAATTGGAGAGAATGTGGGTTATAATATATTTCTGTATATTCTAATGGAGCAATAAACATTTTAGGCGTAACTCCACTTATGCCATTCTTCCATGAGGAGTGCGATATGTAAAGTACCTATTGAATACAGGGATTTTCTTGTAAAATTTTGAGGTAAGTTTGTATTTTTCTTCTATCGTAAAAATTTATTGGAATCGTGTTATACTAATCAATATATCCTCAATTTTACTATATATTTTTTTCAAAGTGATAGATTCAACACTTTCACTGTTATGCGGAATCAAAGAAATCTATTTGAGGCTGTATCGAAGCTTCAGAAAAACGCTAAAAAATAGGATGAATTGTGATAACAACGGTCATATATATGGTGGTCCATAATAGCGAATAACTTCAATCGTCTTTCAATTTCGATTATATTTCTGGCATATGTGGACAGTACTCATATTATTATGACCGCTGCGATCATAATGCAAGTTTTGTTTCGCGTTCCTTTATACATGTCCATGTGTATAATAATTTATTGACTTCTGACTAACCACGATCTTAGATTTAGTTTCTTGACATCGAGTATATAACCAGAAATAGAGACGAAATAAGGGCCTAACTCATGTTTCAGTGAAAACATAAACGATGTCGACATAGAAAAAGGTTGAAAGGCCTAGCCGAAGGCAAATACATGATCATATCATGTCGTCTAATATACTGGTTATGTATAAATAATACATATAATGATATACAGTTATTTACAAAATACTAACAACCTCTCAGGACTATATTACTAACATCAGTATAGGGGAGACCGGGGCTGGTTGACTATAGGGGTAGGTTGACTAACTGTCAAAAACTCGAAGTATGCACAAATGTTGCGTCATCCAACTAGGCGCAAAAAACCGTTTCGTCCCCCCGCTCAGTCACCCGGACCGCGGCATCTGGTACGCACGTCGTTCGGGAGAAGGACGAAATTTTCGAAAAACAATACATGTAAGTAATATTTTTCATTTGTACAGTTTTTGTTGTGGCGCCGGTAAATTCGTTGTTATTTACTTTAAATTATTCAAAGTAAGAGTTTGATTGTTGCTCTATTTGTAACATATCTTTGTTTTATATTTGGCGTCAGTTAATAAGTTATACCATGTGGTTAAACATTAAAATGTGGTCTGGGGCTGGTAGACTAATTTGTTTCGGGGCTGGTTGACTACTTAATCAACCAGCCCCGTATTATTGTGGATATACTTAACATTGAGTAAAGTCGATCTTTCATCAAATTTTATTAAAAATTATTGTTTCAGAACGATGCGGACGTACAAAAGAAAATCTGAACGAGGAAATACACTCAAAGACGTCATAGATCGAGCTTGTCAACAAGTTATTTTTGATGAAAAAAGCATTAATTCTACAGCAATAGAATTTGCTATACCGTATAAAACACTCCAACGCCATGTGGTAAAACTGAAGAAAATATTGGAAAAAAATCCAAAATTGACCAGATCTGAATTAACTTTGGAGTGCGCAGGTTATATTAAAAATAGACAAGTGTTTAGTGACGAGGAAGAACTGGCACTAGAAAGTTACCTTAAGAAGGCAGCTGACATTTATTACGGACTCACACCTTATGCGACACGAAAGTTTGCATTTGAGTTTGCGAAAAAAAATAATAAATGTATCCCTGACTCGTGGAACAGAAAATTGATTGCTGGTGAAGATTGGCTAGGAGGTTTTCTCAAACGTCATTCTGCACTCTCGATACGAACTCCTCAAGCTACGAGTTTGTCTCGGGCCACATCATTCAACAAAAACAACGTAAATCTGTTCTTTAAGAACTTAAAAACTGTTTACCAACGATTGAATCTAAGCCCTGGCGATATTTGGAATGTAGACGAGACAGGGCTTACAACAGTACATGTGCCCAATAGAGTCATAGCTCGGCGAGGAATTAAAAACTTGGGAAAAATTACTTCAGCTGAACGCGGTACGCTCGTGACAGTCGCGGTTGCTATCTCGGCTCTTGGCAACATGGTTCCGTCATTTTTTGTGTTTCCACGCGTCCACTATAAAGAACATTTCATTAGAGGTGGACCTGTAGGTTCAGATGGTGATGCTAACCCTTCCGGGTGGATGAAAGAAGATAATTTTCAAAAATTCGCAAGACATTTCATAAAATACGTAAAGCCCAGTAAGGAAAAACCTGTTCTTTTACTTTTAGATAATCACGACTCTCATTTGTCTATAGCAGTACTTGATTTTTTCAAAGACAATGGAGTTACCATTTTATCATTCCCTCCCCACTGTAGCCATAAGCTACAGCCTTTGGACAGAACAGTTTATGGGCCACTAAAGAAATATTTTAACAAAGCATGCGACAACTGGTTAGCTAGTCACCCAGGAAAGACTATAACGATCTATGACATACCCGAGTTGTTGAAAACATCATTACCATTGGCAGCTACCATTGATAATGTGCAGTCTGGATTCCGAGTCACGGGGATATCGCCACTCAATGAAAATATTTTTCCTGACTCGGAGTTTAGCGGATCTTATGTAACGGATAGGCCAAGACCAGAGTCACTTAGTGTCGCGCCATCATCAACATCAGTTACTGACAGTGCTGCTTCGTCAACTTCTCAAACGACACCTTCGAAAGACCCATGTTCTGAGATCGATGCTGCGCTTCTGCCTGTGCAGGATGATGCTTCTGCCTTTGCAATAAGTAATGAAAGTTTGATAGCAATATCCACTTCACCTGCATCTTACGAGTTGCCGTCTATTTATGACGCAATTCCAAGAACCAGTCAAAATCAGGGTTTTAAAACTCCTGAAAAAGTACCTTTCAATGCAGTTACCCAGCCAAGATGTGTAATGCCCACTACTTCGTTTACTTCGCCTGAAGAGATAAGACCATTTCCAAAAGCTGGACCACGTTTAGAGAACAGAAAAAATACACGGAAACGCAAAAGCACTATTTACACAGACACGCCTGAAAAAGAAAATCTCAAGGAACTAAAAATGAAACAACAATCGCGCAGAACATTTAACAAGAAACCAAAGCCGACTAAAGGAAAATCTAAAGAGACTAGAAAGGATAAGGGTAAAGGAAAGGGGAAAGGAAACAAAATTGTCGCTGTGACAAATAAGAAGAACGTTGATGAAGAAATTAATAATACAGATGAAAGTGATGAAGATGACACGTTTTGTCTAGAATGCACTGAATCGTACAGTTTGAGCATTCCTGGTGAGGAATGGGTTCAATGTATCACGTGTAAGTTATGGGCTCATGCAAAATGTGCTAGTGGCAACTTATTGTTTTATGAGTGCAAACATTGCACGTCTGATTTAGAAGACTGATTTAATAAGCACATAAGTTCCTTTAATAACAAAGATTTATATTAGTTATAAGTTATAACTTTTGCTTCAAGACTGATTGTTATATAGGTAATTCAAATTAATAAGAAATTGTTTAGTTATCGTAAGTTTTTCGAAGATTTAAAAAATGAGTGAGAATTTAATTATGTTTATTTCATTTGATTATATTAGTTATAACTTTTGCTT